AACTCATGTTTAGGGTGAATAGTGCTTTGGTTGCGGTATTTCTCTTGGATCTCTGTAGATATTAATTCGTGTTGATTGCAAGCCCGGACAATTTTTAATATCTAGTGGGACTTAATTTTTTGTTGTTATTAGGACTTCTCACATTTTTGCTCAGCGTTGGGAACGGGCCAATCACGCTCCTCATCAGTCTCTCTCATCTAATAAATATATTGACCGTTGTTATTCTCGCTTCAGAAGGGTCACCAGCCAAGTCTTCAGCACTCATCCTGGTTATCTGGTGCATCTGCTTAACACTACTTTCCCGCGTCAAATAGTAACATCTTTGGGGCCTGGAACAAAGCTCTTTTTACGAGCACATTCTCACGGTCTTTTCCAAGACCGCAAATCTTAACTTATTCATTTCATATCAGGAAACTCTCTCCCGTACTATATACATAACTGGAGAACTCTTCTGTTGTACCAAACAGACTTTGCCGAATTTATTCCGGAATTCTCGTACAAGCTGTTGTTGTACTTCCACGAAATCGCGATCATGAACAGCGCAAAAACGCTTGAAGTTCTGTTCTCCAGATACACAGAGTACACAGGTTAGGTAGAGTATCCTACAACATATGAGGATAGCTACGAAATTGAGAAAATAAACTATCACTACTACTAAGTGGTATTAACCAAATCAAAGAGGGGAGAGAGAGCCTCATAAACTCTATGACGAAATAAGAGAAGAGTATAGGAAGTTGCAAAAACAAGTTAGACATAACGGATATAATGCTGGAAATCGAGCAAATTGAGAACGAGTCTCAATTGCGCAAGGAAAGTGCAGACGAGCTTATCTTCATGCTAACTGCCGACACGACGAATCTAAAACCATAAGGAATAAAGTGAGCGTTAAACTCGGCTTTATTTCCCTCACATTATAATTGAAGAAACAATAGCGACAGCAATCATTCTCAAGCTACGTCAAGTTCAGCAGTAGTCGATAGAGCGATGAATAATGTGAGATCCTTCCGATCCATAAGGCCTCCCTAAACTACATCGCCCAAACTTCATGGCAAGGGTTTCCCTGAATACTGAGCAGTATTCGAAATCCTCGTACACAGCAGTCATGAACTAGACGTTATAGAAAAGATTCTGCTATTCAAGGGAAGTTTGCTACTCAAGGGAAGTCTTAAAGGCAGAGCCCAAGCCACAGTAAGAAGAATACAACTCGTACCACAAAACTACGAGTGGATTATTCAAACCTCAAAAGAAAGCCACCGCATACAACCCATGAATGGATCTCAAGTGGTGCAAAAATTGGTCATTCTGAAGGCAGCAAACAAGTTTGCGGATAGCCGCTCTACTATTTTCGATCAGATCCAAATATTTATCAATCAGATAGTGTCCGCCGGTTACGACTTGCGCAAAACTTGCGACCCAATGTGGTTTGAAGGGGTATGGGTACATACGTGCGTCCGAGGATGCGCGCGGCGAATTGCGCGGCGAAGTGCGTGGTGATTCGAACGGCTCTGGCGCCTATCATTGGGGCTCAAGTTTGAAATACAGTAGATTAGTAGGGTCAGGTACTCCTTATAATCTACTCTACTTCAAATTTGGGCCCCAATGGTAGGCGCCAGAGCCGTTCGAATCACCACGCACTTCGCCGCTCAATTTGCCGCGCGCATCCTCGGACGCACGTAAGTTCCGTCCCTCGGTTTGAAGCCATCTTCTAATCTTGCGCAAGACAGGCAAACAACCGAGAATCTCACGGGTCGTTGAAGAATGAGATTGCGGCCAAAGGGTACATGGAGAACAGAGTGTGCCCTAAGGGCATTATCAAGGCGACCACTCCGGAAGATAAGTACGCCAATCCACGACCCCACTCCAATGACCGATTCTGCTAAAAAGGAAATCATGCCTCAGTGACTTGCAGAACAGTCACTGACCAAGGCAGTCGGCCTCAAAAAGAAGGGGGACAAAACACAAATCATGTTCCTTGGGCAAATAATAAAAGGCCTAATATCACAAACAACAACCAAAGATCAGGACGATCATGACGTAAACAAATAAGATCTGCAAATACAACCGACCAAAGAGGCGTGAATAGAACTAATGTGCAGTTGTGTTCCAAAAACTCTCTTCCAACAGCAGTACAAAGTCCAGCTCCCACACATCTAATGACTGCGGAGCAACGTTTAGAACCACAACAAAAGAGAATACGAAAAAGTTCTCTCTTCCTTTGATTTCGGCGTTCAAAAAACCACTATTGAGGAATCACTCGCAGACAGCTTAGGCGTGCCAAGGGAAACCACTGAAATTTGCACAATGTCGGGAATAAGAGGCCATATTGAGTGCTTCAAAAGTCACATCGCAAAGTTGAAGATAAGCTCAGTGTACGGTGAGGAGCTCCAACTGAATATTCAGTCAAAACCGGATATCACTAATGGTTTTCCGAGCGTTAACCTAAGTTCTATGGATGTTGCCGTTTTGAAGGCAAACATTTTCTACCTGTCTAACTCGAAACTTCGTGGAGACCAAAAACCTCATATTCTAGTGGGATTAGAACACTACCATGAGCTGTAACGGGTCCAACAAGTGCAGTGAAACCTCCCAATGGTCTGCATAGCAAAAACGTGTTCGGGCCCACCATTTACTGAAAGGCGCTCTGCAAGCAGAGGTCACGATTCTTGCCGTGTCGGAACGACCTCCATTCAGGGTAACACCGAACAGAAAATCCTCCAAAAATTATTTGAATAGTACGGGTTGGGAATAATGCATGATGAGTGTCAAAGAAACGGAAATACCCAGCAGCTAGACTACCTAGCAATGCAAGCTAGAATACTTAGCAAAACACTCAAAAAAGGTAACTTCTTTGGCGGGTTCGTTACCGCGCCATTTCATCTGAAAGACAATGTTTCCCAGTCAAAAGATAATTACGGCATGGTCATACGCCGTCTCGAGTCACTGCAAGTCGCTTGCAAAGAAATCCAGAGCAATGCCGTTGGTACATAGATATACTAAACAGATACGAAAGGGGTAAGATCAAAACCTTTTCTACCAGTGCGACGAGTCAGCTGGCGTCTACTACATGCCTCATGCAGGGATGTGGAAGCCCAGCAAAAAGGTTCCTCTGAGAATAGCTTTCCACGCTTTCTCGGAACAAGAAAGGAAAACTGTTCCTGAATGACGGCATCGAGAAAGGTGAATCGTTCATCAATAAAATTCACGACATACTTCTGACGTCGAGCAAGCAAAATCGTTCTCAGATGTGATATCGAAGGCTCTTCCGCACATGTTCGACTCGTAGAACGCCACAAAAATCTTTGTAGACTCTTGTGGCTGAAAGATATCAACAACACTCCTACAGAAGATAAATTGATCTGCTAGCGAATCGCGAATACATATCCAACTCGGCTGAATCAACGCCTCGATAAACCAGCTCGGGTCTGGCTCTATGAAATCGCTCTGAGTCAATTACAACACAGGAACCAATTTATTTACCTTGTCGACTCGGTTTCCATAATTGGAAACGCTGATAAAAAAGGGCATTTCGAGTCTAACTGAATTCATATACGATAGAATAGGTCTGACGGGATCCCTGCTAGTGCGTTGAAATCAATGATGCAGGAAGCTTTCGAAATGCTAGTTGACTAGAAAAGTCCTGCCATTACGTTTGCGAGAGATGGAATCAATTATCTTCAGACGTCAGTAATGCCTACCTATCGGGATCTCGCACCTTGTCTAACGAAATCTCGGGTGACGAAAAGCGCATCTGGGCATTCGCGGATGCTAGCAACGCAGCTATCGCGGCTTGCGAATATCTACAATGTCAACAAACAATCACGGTATCATCATTGAGTTTTGGCTAGACCAAACTAACTCCAAAAGATACTCGTCAAACAATACCTAGGCTGGAACTCGTTGGAATCCTTATGGCAGCTCCATATTATCCGCCATGAGGAAACAAATCAAGCAGGTATCTATCGTATCAGATGGCGAAATAGCACTTTATGGCTTAAAACTTCCAAGAAAGTGCCCACATTTGTGTCAAATCAAAGAGAGCGAACAGTAAAAGTCAGAGACCAAGTTAAAGAAGGCGATGTATCCGTGTCATTTTTACATGTCATCACTTGCCATAACCCCGTAGACGCCGGTACAAGAGGGTTAATCAGCTAATCAGCAATCGTGACTGGGTAAAAGGCCCGCGTTGGCTCGAAAAAGGTGCCAAAACGAGGCCTCTGCGTCTAATGGGCGCTATAAAAAATGTTTCTGAGCAACAGGAGCATAAAAAACTAGCTTCATCAGTAAACCTCCAAGCCACCATTGAAGACAAAAGTCTCGAGAAAATCTTTGATTTCTCAAGAATTCCACCCCTGAACAAAGCAGTAAGAACATTGTTCGTTATCGGAAAGAACCACCCAAAACTGGGTGCGAGTTAGTCATCTAAGAATCGTCTCAGAATACGAGACATGTTCGAAGATATCTGCCACGGATTTCAAAATTTCAGATGAACTTTTGATCAAACAAGAGCAGAAGAACGTGGACATTACAGAATTACAAAAGCGAAAAGAAGGTTATCTGCGACACTCAAGGCATTATTCGTCATGAGTCCCGGCTATAGAACGCAATCTTACCACACGATACAAAGTCACCTATATACATACCTGACGAGAATCACGAGGAAGATTCTTTCTGACAATGCTCATTGTTGGAAGGATCATACCCTCGCAGTCATTCGACAACGTTACCAGATACCACGAGCAGCAGCTACTTATAAAAATGGGTCGGCAGCTGCGTTACTTTCAAGCGCTTCCAGGGACTACCTTTGAGTGCTCCCCTAATGCCGCCATTCCATAGAGACCAGATGGAATCAACGAAACCGTTCGATGGCATCGGCTGCGACTATATAGGACCGTTCACCTAAAGAATGCAAGAAAAAAATGTGTGTGTCTGTCAATGTCATGAACGATGGCACGCGCAATGATACGAACAATTAATAGCCAGCAATAATTATAAGAGATACATTGTTCGGTATACCAGAAAAACCACTGCCTTCTTTCAAACAACTGCAGGCCGTGGGTTTAGGGGTTTTAAAGGACTGGTGGTGGAGACTGCGTGAGCCTGCTTTCAGACTTCGACGACCGTCCGTCCGTCCGTTCAACGCGTGCGCGACGGCGGTCGAGTGCGTCTCGCGACGGCGGTTCTAGAAAGGTGTTAACAACATTATATCACGTCCCAGCGCTGCAAACACCATTCTAGAACCGCGGGCACGCATGCGACCGCCGTCGCGTACGCGTTGAATCGAAGTCTGAAAGTGGCCCAATACGGCGCCTCGACGGTAGAGCGAGCGCGTCAACTGTAAATCGCGAGCGCGTCAACTGTAAATCATGGTGCTCGCTCGCGAGCACCATGATTTTCACCCTAAGGAAAGTTCCTTCTTCGAAATGGGTTGTGAACACTTGATTTTTTAAACGCAACGTTGCAGATCAGGTTTTAGGTTCTATTATTTCAATGTTGATCGTTTCGTAGCAGGGAAGTTCATAGGTGCCCACTCCGTACCTAGTACAAGTATTTCAGGTATCGTTCTCACAGTCTCAATGGAGTTGTTTCACTTATTCAACGTTTCAAGTGGGCATCGTTTTCATGTAGAAGTATCGGTCAGTCAGACAGAGCAGAGTAATGGATTTTGTATTATTTTTCGAATTATGATGGTGGTTACGTGAATCGGAATGAAAAGATTGATGTAGTTCTTGATGGTGACGAGACCTACAAAAAACTCCTGGATTTTTCATAACCTTTGGGTTTCATGGCTTGTGTAACATTGTTATGAGGTTTGAGGGCTGTGGTTGCTACCCACACTATCACGTGCTGCACCATTCAAATTTTCAGATGGGTTTGCCATGCAACCCTTCCACCATGTGCTTTCATGTTGACGCGTTACTAATGAATGAAGGGAGGCGGCCGAAGGGCAGAATCGCGCTGGGACATTTTTTTCTAACCGCGCTTATTTCCCTGCGTGCTCCACTCACTACTTACTGTGGACATCCCATCATTGCTTATCTCCGTACACTTTTTTCGATCCCAAGGATGTCAGGGTGAAAAGACAATCTAGTTTTTCTTCAGCTCCTGCCTCCATGTTCGTTCTGCCGACTTTGATTTCCGTGCGCCCTCAAGTGACATCTATTCACTCTTCTTTTCCCGAGTTTAGGATGTTTTGAGGATTTGTGAAATTTGATCTTTGGTTCTGCCCTCTGCGCGAAATCCGCCTACCATTAACATTCCTCAACCTCTCCCCTTCCTATGTTAGTTCCCGTCAATTTTCCTTCTGATTTCTGCAACGTTCTTTGAATAGAACTGAATCTGAATAGCTTTGCAGTTTTTGATTCATTATCATCCTTTTCAATGCACACCTTGTCTACTACGATATTTCACCTCCCTTTCCTATTACTCTAGAGGGCCCTTAGCAGGATTGTGGTCCTTGATTTCAAGGACAGTCTGAAGACAGAAGGGAAGAAAGTCCGGTCATTCTGCCTCTCCTGTGTTGAATCGGGAATGCCTTGGTGGCACCTTTGTCCTCCGTTATTTTTTTTTTTTTTTGAAATAATTTGGAATAATGAATAGCCGCTATCTCTTAGTAAGAATGGATGTTGACTAATATCGACGTAGTGATCAACGTTGATCGCTCCTCATCGCCGTCCTACTGTATAGAACGCGATAAGTATGTCTGTTTGTTTGTTCATTTGTTTGTGTGTGTCCAACCGGGAATTCAGAGCGTAAAGCGTTCAAGTTTCGTAGGAGTGCAGGCAACAGTCTGGGAGTGCTCATGGGAGTTGACACGACTAGACTTCAGCCGCAAGGAGCGAGGCGTTCGCAAAAAACTGTTAATTTTTACCGGGGTCCTTCAACTTTCGTAGGGGTACAGGCTGTAGTATGAGGATCCTGATGGTAGATGAAGCGACTAGACTGCGCCCGCAGGGGGCGTAACGTGCGAAAAGTTAGCTAATTCAGACCTAGAGCATTCAACTTGTTAGCAATACACGCGGCAATGAGGGGTTGGTGAGGTTAGGTGACACGGCTAGACCCCGCCCACAAGGGGCGGGGCTTGCGCAAAGTCGTTTGATTAGGCCCGGGACTTTGAATGGGTACGAGTACAGGTGACAACATCATTACACTGATGGTAGGAGCTAGAAAGTGACTGAGCTGTATCCCACCCACTAGAGCGTAAGGGGGATGAATTCAGCGGGGCGTGCATGAAATGAGCGTGGTCTCAGTAAGAATATGCAGTGAATTAGGAGTAAGTAGGAATGAATCAAGTTACTGAAACACGCAGGATATCGCTCATAGCGAGGGGGCGCGCGCGAAGTGTGAGTGTGGATGTGTGCGAGTGTGTGTCGCTGGCAATGAGTAGCTCCTTCTCTTTTCTTGGACCAGAGCGTCCGAATTCCGAAAAATGGGCCGACATTAACTCGAAAAGGAGGGGAGCCAGCGTTAGCCAGGCGATCCGACTGATATTCTCTAACACTCCCCAAACACCTTGAGAGTTAAAGCGTTCCAAGGTAGTGAACGATCAGTTGTACAGCGAACTGATTTTGTTCTCACCCAACAGTGTCAGCACCTTTCCATAATCAACATCATCGGCAAGCTCGCTGAGCCATTTCGAGCTTCGGTCTTCTTTCATGACGTATACATTCTTCTCATCTGCTGGACGCCTCATCTAAGCGCTCTCTCATCCACCGGGATTCCTCTCGAAAGGGCATCTGCAACCACATTAGCCTTCCCATTAACGTATTCTATGGTTAGTTTATACTGCTGAATTTCTAACGCCCACCTCAGCACTTTAGAGGAAATATTGCTCCTTTTGAACAATGTCGTCAGAGGCAACTGATCTGTTCTGACTACAACCTCCATACCGTACACGAAGTAATGAAATTTCTGTAAAGTGAACACTATTGTCAGAGTTTCCAAGTCTGTGACATGGTACCTTGTTTCTGCACTGGATAGTCTTTTCGGCGCTATTTACCCTCTACTGCCCCACCTTGTCGAGAATGGGCTAGATTCCTACCGAATTTTTTCAAAGAAGATGAAACCGGCTAGAAACTTGCCTACAGGAGTAATTTGACCCGCAAAACACGAATATTCCATCCAGTTGTCGTAAAGATGCCTAGCGCTTGCGCTACAGGCGTCTGCGCCAAATCGCTGGGTCACCGCTCCTGCTGAAAACTTGCCCCTAACTAGTGTCCCAGGCGTTTTCATGTTGAGTGAATGCGATATTCGTGTTCTACGGGTCAAATTACCCCTTTAGGCAAGTTTCTAGCCGGTTTCATCTTCTTTGAAAAAATTCGATAGAAATCCAACCCTTTCTCGACAGAGTGGCGCAGTAAAGGGTAAATAGTGCCGTCTTTTCGAAGCGAAGTAGATAGGATACAAGAAATGATCCTTGCTTTCTTGAGACCTATCTGCGACGCATCCGTGTAAATGATATACGGTCGTTCTCCCTTCCGGACTGCCTCCACATCAGGCTGGCTCAGCACAAGAGTAGACGTGAGCTTAGCCTCCAATTCACCTAAACCTCCTCGTGGTTTTCATTCCATTCCCATGGAACCTTCACACTTGTTAGCTCAAACAGCGGCTCAATGCGTGAGAAACCTAGTACAAATTTCCGATAGTGCCCACACATCCCCAGGAATGTTCGCAATTCAGCCAGTCTTGGGCTTCGGATACTTCTCGACCTTCTCTATCTTCATGGGGTCCACTCTCACTCCATCTCCTGCAATTTCGTGGCCCAAGAATATCACTTTGCTGGTCATCATCACGCATTTCTTCGGTTTGAGCTTCAAATTTGCCGCTCGGAGTGCCTGCAGTACCGCCTTGAGCACCTCAAAATGGCGTTCTTTGCTCTCCGACGCTATCAATATATCATCTATATATACGAAAACTTCTTCATCACGTAGGGTGCCCAATACCATATCCATAAGTCTTTGAAGGCGGGCTGGCGATGTGCACAACCCAAATGTAAGCACCTTGAATTGAAACAACCCTTCTGACGGAGTACTGGCTCAGTACCCTGACGCCATGTCAAGGGTACTGAGCCAGTACTTCCCTTTCAGACTCTGTAAGATGACGTCAATCTTCGGGAGCGGATAGGCGTCGTACTTGATGTGCTTGTTTAGCTCCTTATAGTCGATGCACAACCTCGGCGTCCCAATCCTTATTCTTGACCAGGATCACTGGCGAGGCCCAGTCCGAGGCCGACTCTTCTATTATGCCTCGATCTAGGAGCTCTCTGATCATGCCTTTAACCCATTGACGATCGCGCCTTTTTAGCGTGTCTGGTGTGTGGGACCGAGCGCGCTTTTCGCGGGCTGCTGCTGTGGCCCGGTGGCGGGCCACACGGTCCTAGGAACAGGTAAATTTTTTCGTAAGCATTTCCAGCCGACAAAAAAATTTTTTAAAGTGTGGCATGTAAAGGTTATAAGTCATACACACTATTTAGAGCTACGTTATGGCATCTAATGTTGATTGTTCAAAGGGAGTGAAAGTCTTTACCAAATCTTTTCCAAATGCGACTCTGTCTAGACACGAGGAAGCAGACAAGATGGGAATGACATGTTTCGAATCACCGAATACCTCAGCAAAGTCCCTTCACATCCTTTTTACATAAATTTAATCACCTTTGGTTTTGCTCCTTTACCAATGCCCTCAGAAGTAACTTTGTTTTCTGTTATTACTAAAGTCAGAAGTAAACGTTTCACGGACCGCTGCGCGTCAATGTTCCGTAGTAGGTCATAAACCTGCTCGATACTTGGAAGGATCAAAAAATCGAAAATGAATGTTATACATGGAAAATAAAACTGTGGCCCGTATACGGACCACGCGGTCCCAGGAGCACGACAGGGCGTGCGGTCGTCAATGGGTTAAATTCGGTACGCGCTCTTAGTGGTATTGGTCTAGTCCTTTGTCGAATGGGAGGAACATCTCCGTTATCCACCTCGTGGGCTACCAAACTGGTCTGCGTTAGTTCGCGATCTTATACTGCGAACACGTCATTGTACTCTTCTACAATGCTCCACAACTCCGGCTCAACCGGAACCCCTTTGTCTCTGTTGTTCCTGAGGTATGCACTCAGCATACGTCTTCTTTCCTGAGCTTGCAATTCGGGTTTCCCTAACATAAGCATATCTGTTGCCATCTCTCTCGCCATTGCCTTGGAATACTCTGCATCATCCGACTCCCAGTCACCCACCTCCTGGTCCCTTTTCAGCACCAGAGGCTCTGATGATGTATTCCACACCGGCACTTCGGCCATTCCAGTCTCACTGACTGTACATAGACCCGAGAGTATCCACTCAGAGCTAGACTTGAGCACTCGCTCACCAGCTTGTGTTTTTCCCTTGATCGCTACTCACTTGAACTCACCAGGAGCTACGTAAACTCTTTTACATATTTTGACTTTACTTGCACCTCGGGCTTCTTGCGAAGGCTACACCAACGCTTCCTCTGCCATTTCGCCCTTTCACAATCTTCGCCTGATCGTCTGACTAACGTATAGTTCAGTGCTAGTAATGCATTCGTGCCCAGAACCAACATATGTCCTTTCTGCCCTGATACATGCATTTGCAAGATTATCTCTGTCCCCGTGCCTGCCTTCAGAGGCACTCCCACCCCTTCAGAAACTTCATCCGATTTTCCGACATATCCAGAATCCTTTTACGCAGGTTTATCGGGCACTCTTGCAGCCGATGACATTCCTCTTCGATCCACTGCTGCACCTTTTGCGGCAGGGTCGAAATTTCGAATCCCGTGTCTAGCAACGCGGACTAAACGTTGCCAAAAATCGCACATTTGTAACGGACTTCTTTCCAAACGGTGGCACTACAGTTGAAGGACATCGCTTTTCCGGGGTCCTGGGTGGCTTAGCTTCCTCGAACAACACCTCTGTTGCTTTACTCCCAAGCTCCCTTTTAGCCTTGCACTCTCTTGCCAGGTGGCCTTTACCTCTGCAATTGAAGCAATGCATTTGTCCTCGTCTTTCTTTGTGTCTTGGTTCTTCCTTCTCTCCATTCAGCAACTCACTTCGTCGCCCGTTATCATCTTCATCCCTCCTTATGCTCTTCTCCATCTTGGTCGGCACCCGTGACCGCTCGTGCCTATCGTTCTCCTGCCGCTTGGTAGCTTTGCGCCCTAGCACTCTCTAATGTCAGCCTTCTTTCCACGCGCACTGCGGCCTCCTTCAGACTTTCGTACGCGCTGGGCCCTTCCTTTTCCATAGCTTCCAAGAAGTAGTACGATTCTGGCCAGTGTACTAACTGCTCGTACAGCTGTTGCGCCGTTGTTGTACTAGAGCCTTCTCATCCAACTCCGGATAAGCCCTGGCCGACAACCTTTCCAGCTGTAGCGTGGGTGTAGTGTGAATATTTACCACTATCAACCTGCAATCTGATCATGTTCCAGATATCCCGAAGGGCTGGACTGGAAACTGGACATTGGTAACTGGAAATAGGGGCATTGGTCCTTCTAGGAGTCCTTTCTTTTTTGCCATGCCTTAGGTGTACGAGCGCTAATGCCAATTTGTTCCACTGAAAAAAAAGTTACGACCGAAAAGGCTTGGCCAAATATTTGAGCGCTACTGTATGTATATATGTATGCGTATATATGTATAGGTATATATGTATATATGTATAGGTATCCTACTTACTATAAAGCGCTTAGTCTGTCTGTCTGTCCGTCTGTCTGTCTGTCTGTATGTCTGTCACGAAATTCCTTAGCTCCTTTAGATCTGCCTGGAGAGACCGGATCAAGTGTGGGATGGGTGGGCCAGGTCTCGAGAAGTATAAAACACACATCAGCTTGGCGGAGCCCCGCCCACAGTGGGCGTGGCGTGCCTCGAAATGAACCCTACCGAGGACCATGATTTCAAATCCAGCCACAAGACGGCCTCAAAATTGGGGTTTAAAGGTGGCTTGAGGTGTGCATTGGTAAGTTAGATCGAACTGTGGAGACCCACCCCCGATGGGCGGGGCGTTCTCCAAAAATGCAATGCTTTATGAAAACATTTATAACTCGGTTTGGAGAAAGCCAACAGAGCAGGAAAAAGTTGATGTGGGAGGAGCATTGTCGGGGGTGTCTCCAGCATAAATGTCGTCAGCGGAGGCCCGCCCACAATGGGCGGAGCGTGCCTCGAAGCTCACATCCCTTCTTACATTTATATACGAAAATCCATAATTCCGGTTCCCATGGACGTAGAGAGTTCAAATTTGATAGGAATACAGGCGTCATGGAGGCAAAACTCATGGTGGGTGGCAGAACCAGACTCCGCCCACAAGGGGCGGGGTTTGTGCGGAAATTCATAACTCCCGTCCCCATGGACCTAGAAAGTTCAAACTTGGTAGGAGTACAGGCGACAGGATGTGAATACCTATGGTGGGTGGCAACACCGGACTCCGCCCACAGGGGGCGGGGTTTGGGCGAAAATTCATAACTCATGTCCTCGTGGACCTAGAAAGTTCAAATTTGGTAGGAATACAGGCGTCATAGAGGCAAAACTCATGGTGGGTAGCAGAACCAGACTCCGCCCACAAGGGGCGGGGTTTGTGCGGAAATTCATAACTCCCGTCCCCATGGACCTAGAAAGTTCAAACTTGGTAGGAGTACAGGCGAAAGGATGGGAACACTTATGGTGGGTGGCAGGACCAGACTCCGCCCACAGGAGGCGAGGTTTGAGCGGAAACTCATAAATCCGATAAAGGTCTATAATGAAAATCAGCTCATGCTGCTCCGTCTCTCATGGCTAGAGCCCCTAGCGCGCGCAAGAGCGTGCGTGGCCGCCTGGTATATGTATATATGTGTACATGTATATTTTTTGATATGCTGCCAACAGTAATGACTTTTGATGTCTCCATCAAAAAACTCACAAAACTCCTTTTTATTTCGTTTGAAAGGCCACTTTTCACATTTTTTTCTGATTAGGACAAAATAACAACAGTTTCAATAAATTAAAATAAATCGCTTGACTTGATCCCTATCATCATGAGATCGAAACCTAATTAACTACTGGTCTAATACTTTGTAGTGAAGCCATTGGCATCGATGACGGCTAGGGTTCTGCGGGGCATTGATTCGACCAACTTGTCGACCAGGCACTCATTGAGTTCTACCCATTCTTATTCAAATAGGCCAAACTTCTGAACAGCATTTGGGACTGTTTTATCAGCTATCCTTTTCTTGGGTTCCTGCCACGAGGGTTCAATGATGTTTAGGCCAGGGGACTGGCTGGACCAGTCAAGGCGTCTTTCCTAATGAGTCAGCCACTCGCACCCCCTTCTAGACCTGTGCTCGGGGTCGTTATATCGCTGGAAAGTAAATTTTCTTTCGTGCACGGGAAAGGTAGCATGCATTTCGCCAAAATGTCTACGTACATATGGTGGTCCGTAGTGGTGGGAATGTGGTGCATGGACCCCATGCCTAGACTCGGAGATCATCCTTAAATCAATACTTAGCCGACACCGTGCTTGAGAGTTGTCGAATGGTACTGGGGGTCGGAAATTGTGTTTTGAAAGGTCGTCTACGAACGAAACTCAAGTGTTCCAAGCAAAACAATCTTCATCTAGTCGCTCCAGATGGCATCGCGTCATTGATCGAAGGTCCAGTGCAGGCGCTTACGCGATCATTGAAGTCGAACTTGTCTCTTTTTCTGAGTTGAAGATACTATTTCACAAGTCTTCTTCCATATAATCCAGCATCCCACATGCGTCTGTTGATGGTACCTCTTGATGGTAACGACGTCGCCGTCGCCGATATTTCGGCCATCATATCGGAAGATACTCGTCTGGAATCTTAAGTCGACTCACAAATGATCTTCCTATCGTTCACGGGAGCGGCAATAAGTGGTCTTCCCGAGCTGGCTTGTTTGATTGGGCTTGTGAGAGACTCAATACTTCCGACAGCCTTCGCAGTCATAGACATTGGCACAAAAAACACCCTTGGATGTTGAGCATGGGTCAATTCCTGCTTACTGCCCGTGGCAGTGGCGGAAGCTGTTCCACGGTCAGATAGCGAAGCCAGAGTTTCTTCTCTTCACTGAGAGCAATCAGCTTACAGAACAAAAGAATCATCGACATTTCCAGACTCTAAAAACTCAATGAAATCTACCTGAAGAGCATGCCCCTTTCGCAAGTTTTTTGAAAGAAAATTCACTCACTCGGCCGGAAGTGAGCTATCGCCGATTCTGCATCGCAGGAGAGTCGGTAGTGATTGAAAAGTGTGCTCTCAAAAAATCAGTCAAAAACATTGAGTTTGAGATGAATTATGGCAAAAAAGGTTTGAGGTGATTTCTTTTTGAACGGTACTGTATGTATAGGTATATGTATATATGTATATATATGTATATATGTATATGTATATATGTATATATATATACATATACATGTATATATGTGTCGTATATGCCTATGTGTATGTATATGTATATATGTATATATGTATACATGTATACATGTATATATGTATATATCTATTGTATATTCTACTTACTATAAAGCGCTTCGTTTGTCGTCTTTCGTCTGTCTGTATGACTGCCATGAATTTTCTTAGCCCCTCTAGATCTGCCTGGAGAGACCGGCTCAAGCGTGGGATGGGTGGGCCATGTCCGGAGAATTATAAAGCACACATCAGCTTGGCGGAGCCCCGCCCACAGTGGGCGTGGCGTGCATCGAAATGAGCTATACTGAGGACCATGTTTTAAAATTCAGTCACAAGACGGCTTCAAAACTGGAGTGTAAAGGTGGCTAGAGGTGTGCATTGGTGAGTTAGATCTAACTGGGGAGACCCACCCCCGATAGGCAGAGCGTTCTCCAAAAATGCGATGATTATGAAAACTTTTATAAATCGGTTTGGAGAAAGACAACAGAGCAGAAAAAAGTTGTTGTTGGATAAGCGTTGTCGAAGGTGCCTCCAGCATAGATGACGTCAGCGGAGGCTCGCCCACAATGGGCGGAGCGGGCCTCGAAGCTAACATCCTTTCCTGCATTTATATACGAAAATTCATAACTTCGGTTCCCATGAACCTCGAGAGTTCAAATTTGGTAGGAGTACAGGCGGCATGATGGGAAACCTTATGGCAGAACCGGACTCCTCTCACAAGGGGCGGCGTTTGGGCGAAAATTCATAACTCCTGTCCCAATTAACCTAGAAAGTTCAAACTTGGTGGGAGTACGGAGGGCAGGATGGGAACACTTATGGTTGGTGGCAGGACCGGGCGAGCCGACATATTGTGTATACAGAAGTGTTGCATTGATAAATCACATGTTTCAAAACCAAGTGTTATGTATACTATGCTAATTCTCCAGCCAAGACATTAAGGTAACGGTTCGGGTCCGATTCGATCATTTAATTAACATGCCTAAAGAGTTACGTGACAACGTAATTGTTGGAGCCACAACATCAATTCTCAACCTACGGCATGCCGTAGGTCAAGGTCAGTTCTCAACCTACGGCATGCCGTAAAGTACCAGTCGGACAACTGTTACCGAACTCGCCATTGTCTTCACGTTCATTTGAATCTTTGTTTGAAATTGACTGTTTACTGCGCTACCATCGCCGTATCACACCCCTGAGAACTTTTGATTGCACGTCTACTAGACAAATCTTACGATTTGTCACCCCGTCATCTGTGGGATTTGCACTTTGCCTGAGCTTTTACCGCAGCAGATGTCTTCATGTCGCCCTCACAAGGCTGCTGATGCAGATTCCGTCGTGTTGGGTTCTCCATCTAGGGGCTTTACGGATCCGCATGATCCCTTCAAGTAGTTGAGGACAGCTTATGAGGGCTATTCGTCTCATCGGCAGTACCGTTGTTGTCAAAGCGAAGAAGCCTTTGGTTCTCTTGAAGTCGATTTCTGGTCATAAATTTTCCGGCAGTTGAATGTTCGCATCTGACCAAATTCCAGAGTTTCAGCTACTCTGTTTCCGCTGTTTATCAAATGGACAGAGGGACATCTGTAAAGAGGCCAAAGGATCTTCCGAGTTCATCCATGTCGGTGGGAATCCAGTTATGACGTTTTTGATACCATAGCAAGCAGTTCTTCAGAGAAAAATAGTCATAAATTGGATTAGCGTCTGCTGTTATCCACATTTGAATTGTTTCCAACATTCTCTGGAAAAGTAACTCTGTCATATTTTTGAGCGCCGTCTATCCATATAATCTACGCTTCTTCTGAAATTTCAATTTCGGATTCAACAGTATCATGCACAACTAGCAGGATCCATATCATCGCTATCCACCTTATAACTTCACCAGTTGGGCTATGCAAGCTAATGCGTGCATTATATGTCGATGACCGCTTATCCACGATAAATTCATTCAGCGGAATGTTAGATCAACAGGATAAGGTAGTTCTCTCTAGATTCGAGCGCTGAACTGCAGAGAACATCACTCTCGATATATTTCATTCGAGCAGAATTGTTAGCGGTTGATCATAGCTTCGTCCACCTCAGTGCAAACCCTTCCCGCTATAAACTCGACAACCCTTCTTTTAACTGCTTCTCACCATTTTCTCCGCATTCTAAAAAGTTTTCGAATAATTGGGTTTTGGGTCCTAGCTAAGCTGTGCTAGCTCCGCCCACTTTGAGGAACCACACTTATTCCAATGCATGCGACCACTTTTTTCCCCTGTCTAGAGCGTTTCTGAGCAGAACTATAAATTTTTGATCTAAGCCCCGCCCACTTTAGTGCCAATCCCGCCCTCTAGTATTTGTCCACATTTGTTCCATTATCTCTAACCACTTTTTCCCGCATTCTATAACGTTTCCGAATGAAGTTACATTCATTTTTGAAAAGAATTTATCAACGCACGCCAAGGGGCTTGGGCGGGGCTTCGCTAAGTTTACACATGCCCAGCACGCACGAAGATTTGTTCACTCTCTATTTTCTCCTGGCCTCGACGGCTTCGTTGAATCGAGTTATGAATCTCCGTAGAAAGTCCGCCCACTGGAGAGCGCTCCGCCCATCTCCGGTAAGTTTCCTCTGTTTAAATTGTTGACCCAGCCCTCATCTTTGCACCTTTTTTGCGGCGTCTGGGAGTGAGACCGAATGACAAGAATATGCTCATGATCACTCCCAATTCCGGCGCATGCCCCGTCCCTTGATGGCGAAGCTCCGCTAGACTCACATGTGCTCCGTTGCACTAACCCTATGGTCAACCCATTCCAAACATGACCCGACCTCCCGACTCCAGAGCTTCTTCAAGTTATATCGAATTTCCGTACAAACAAACAAACAGACAGACAGACAGGCGCGAGCGCTTTATATATAGTAAGGATCGTCGTTGTCGAGCAACAACTTCTCAAAGCTTGCTTTGAATTCTTCAATATCGATATCGGAGAGCTCATAAGATAGTATTATTCACAAGGTCAAGTGTTTTTGATCGTAATCACCCAATTTTGAGAGTAACAAGTTGTCAACAGGAAAACTGTGTCGCCCCCCCGCGCCGGTCACTAAGAAAACTGTCTCGTCGTCAGTGTGTTAACTATGTATTACTTCTGATTGCTTACGCAGAGCTGTCAAACATTCTGAATATTGTTGCATCAAACAGGAGTGCGCGAATTTCTTAGTTAAGTATAGAATTCAGAATTTGAATGCAATAATAGCAGTCGTACTTGTGTGCCTTAGACTCTTTATAAACCGTTATTTTCTTTACACAAAGTTTTTTTTATAAATGTTCAACGCTGTAACTTGTCTGGAACTGGAATACACATGTAGATATAATGCTTGAACAATGCCATCAATTAGTTTGCATATTTGTAAGTTTCCTTGAATTTGTTCTGCATTGTGCAAGAAACTCGTCCGCCTTGAAAGACCTTCAGTGTACAGATTAAACGCTTAACTTCAGTGTCGAAATGTTTTATGGAAATGAGGATCTCCTGAACTTGTATAGAAGGGGAGGGAATTATAACAAAAGCTTCGAAAATTCCATCACATCCAACTTCAGTTTCTTACTCGTGCCGGGCATAGGCATATCTTAATCTTTTGTGTTGGACATGGAAGAAGTTTGGTTCGTTGCAGCTTCAATGGAAAGTTCGCCAACTCCAAGAAAGTGTTGTGCAGGTGACTGGAATTCAAGTAGATGACCAAGTGAGTTTTTAAAACGTCTAATTTGATGAGCTCCAACAATTATCCCTACAAGGGAGTGATTCTGGGTCGCAGTTGCCATTCAAGATGAGGTATATACTGACGTAAGTGCTTTCAAACACTGTTCTCAAATCTGTGTTCGAAAAAATTTACGGATCTGTTTCCTCCAGATGTCATGCCACTGATTTGCTTTTATTATATAAGCGAACCGAGCGGTAGTCAAGCATGCAACGATAGCGGAGTAGGTAGGACTGGTAGGCGTGACATTTATTTATTTACTTATCTATTGTCACAGTTACGAAAAGGTGAGAAGCAAGTGTAGCGTCAATTCAACAATATTATAGCATATACAGTACTTTTCTCGTGCAAATAAAAAGGATGAATAGATAAAATGGATAGTACTGTTGCAATGTACAATGAAGCACGGAAAGGGGTGGGAGAGCGGGGAGGGGGGTGGAGAGGGGGGGGGGGG